CATAGTAACACGTCACAGTATGGTGAGTACCACTGTGGGGTACGTTGTGTCAGAAACAAAATCCTGAGCAGTCAGGGAGGAAGGGCAGTGGTATCACATACTGGAAGGCATCCTGAAGAAGTGATGGGTTCAGCCTAGGGAGCAGGGGTGGGGTGGAGCAGGGCGGGGCAGTCTTCCGGCAGCCGAGCAGCATACTCAAATATGGATTTGAGAGCCTGTGACCGGTGATTAAGAGTCTGTAGGTCTACACTGTGGTAAAGACCATTCTCCCAGAGGCATCCGTGCATTGACTCCAGAAGTTTGCAGGAGTTAGAAGTGAGCCTGGGCTGGAAATGTTGGGACTCCAGTTTTTCCAATATTAATCAGGAACAATGAAGAGAACCAATGATATCAGGCTGATGGAATCTTAGAGAGATAAAATGTATCATAAATGAAGTTGAAGGCATCGTACCTGGGAGAATGGGTGGCTGAAGCTAGGAAGCAAATAATAAACAGTGAGAACTATGCTGTTGCTAAGCACCGCGTGCTTCAAGCTCTATGCACACTGACTCACTTCTTCACAGCACACTCCGTGAGGTGAACTTGATCATCTGTTTCAGAGAGGTCCTCTCCATCCCATCCTTCACCTGACCCCTCTTTTGCATTCATAATAATCATAAATAGTCAATAGTTCGCTACTTAAAAAAATTAGTCTTTCAATGGAATGAACACTCTTTAAGAGCAAAAGCTTTGTTTTTATTAATGGTTGTTTCTCGAACCATTCATCAGAAGGACATCACAGGAGCCCAGTAATTCAAAATGAATAGATAACAGAAACCAAGACGCAGATAATTTGCAACAGACTAAGCAGCCAGGTGGTATCAGGGCCAAGGAAAAATGATGGGAGTATCCAAGAAGGCTTTAGAAGTGGGACCGCGAGCTCACAAAAGGCACAGAAAGCAGAGAGACTAGATTTTCATTCTAGTAAGATGCTTAAAAGAGCATCAAGGACCGGGGAAATTGCTCAGCAGTTAAGAGTGCTGGCTGCCCTTCTGTAGGTAGGCAGCACCTGATTTGATTTGATGGCAGCAACCACATGGCACCTAACAGCTACCTGGAACTCCAGCTCCTGGGGATCTGGGGATCTGCCCCCCCCCCCCCCCCCCCCCCCCCCCCCCCCCCCCCCCCCCCCCCCCCCCCCCCCCCCCCCCCCCCCCCCCCCCCCCCGCCTGTCCTCCTCAGGCACTAGGCGCGCATACACACAGTTCACAGACATATGCGCAGGTAAAACACTCACACACATAAAATAAAAGTAAATAAATCTTTAAAAATACTTTTCAAAGAACATTAATACATGTGTTTTACAGAGTCAACTATCTAACAATATTTACTGAGCACTTGAGCATCAACAGGTGTTGTGTCAAGCGTGGCAGCAATGGTGGACAACGCAGAGGTGCCTACCGTCTGTGGGAGAGAGAGAAAGAAAGCAGGTGACCACTCGGGTCAGTTTCGGGGGGGTCACAGCTCTGCAGTGCTAATAGAGCAGGGTGTGATGGGCTACAGAAGTGTGGGAAAGGGATAGAGCATGGGTGGACTGATCTTCAGAGGGGCCTTCGGGAAAATTACATGGGTTTATTACTTTTTATTTGACACAGCGCTTCCAGATGACATATTTGGAATGTTTTCATGTATGTAATATATATGAAATTGTCTGTCTATCTGTCTGTCTATCTATCTATCTATCTATCTATCTATCTATCTATCTATCTATAATGAGATACATGGAGGATAAGACCCAAGCTTGAGCATGGAATTCCCTTGTTTAGTGTGCATGGCTTCCCGTACAGAATGCATGGACTGAAGTTAGTTTTAGCAGTAAATATTTTCAATGCATCTTCGGTCTTGGGTATTATTATTTACCATGCTGGAGTCCACCTTGGGGGTTATGGATGACCTTGCACATGCAAAGCAAGTACCAAAGAGGCAGGCATTGGACCAGCGCTTTGATGGCAGCCCACTACATGAGGTCAGATGGGAACTTTTCAACCAGTGCTATCACGTCAGCCCTGAAAAGGTGTCAGGCTTTGGAGCATTCTGGATTTCAGATTTTCACATCAGGGGAGTTCAACTGGCATGTGGATAAAGTCCTACAAAATAGGACTTTTTGCTCAAAGAGAAGATGATGCTCGGAGCAGAAACAGAGGCAGGACCAGCGCCAAGGACTGTGGGATGAACTGAGATCATAAAGCCTCTATGGAAGTGGCAATTGTGGATATCAAACAGGTTCGTGGCCAAAAGAAAGACCTTGATTATCTCCCGATTAAGGTTTGATTAGTAACACGGCCACATGGTTAAGCAATTGTCCCCCCAAAGCATACTTAGTTTTAAGCCAGAAAACCAAACCAGAAATGGCTCTGTTCCTTCAGAGGTTAGGGGAGCAACTATAAAGTAGAAGCACAGGACGCTGAAGAAGACCCAGGGGGAGGGCATGAGAAAGAATGTATCACAAAGGAACTTTTGGGGCAGATATGGCAGCTACGCCTGCGATCTCTCCTCGCCAAAGGTTAAGGGAGGAGAATTACAGGTTCTTGGCTATCCTGTGACCCTCAATTGGTCCTCCCAAAAGGACAAGGCAATTCTGTCAAAAATACCTTACACCCAAGCTTTGCAACATGCCCCGCCCAAGCGGCTTACAGTTCACCACACATTGGCTGTAGCTGGAGAACACTGAAGGAGGTCCTCAGGGAGCGTCAGGCAGGACTGATACTTTCTTTGGAGTTCTGCTTCCTTAACTTGAGAGAACAAATGACTCACGGAGAGTGATAAAAATGCATGTTGAGCCAGGCAGTGGTGGTGCACACCTTTAATCCCAGCCCTGGAGAGGCAGAAGCAGGTGGATCTCGGTGAGTTCGAGGCCATTCTGATCTACAGAGCGAGTTCCAGGAGAGCCAAGGCTACACAGAGAAACCCTGTCTCAAAAACCAAAACCAAAACCCATGTTGCCACTTCCCACCTAAAACTTTCTTTTCGTTTTACTGAGGTTAAGACCTAAATCTTCCTGTGTGATTTAAGTGGTCTCCAGACTGGCTTCACCTTGAGAAGCATAGAATGGATCTACTAATTAGCTTCAATTACAGCTTATGAATCTCTAGAAATAATGAGAAACTGATGGTTTGTGTACAAGGGCATTGCTGATTTTTATCCCCTCAAGGAGAGAAAAGTTATCATTGCAACACACTCACGGACTTGCTAAATCCCTGGTTCAGACACTCATCTAGTGTCGTTGAGCAGACCAGGGGACCGGCTCTGAAAGGGAAGTGATTTGCCTCAGTCCACAAAGCTGGGAGGCAGAAGTTCCAATATGCCCCTTAGAGTGATAAATTGTGATAAAACACAGAGAGATGAGGTGTAATCAATGTACTGTGAATAGGAACAAATAAAGTAGTCCAGGGACCCCAAGTTCATCTTCAGTGCACCGAGAGAGCTTTATCTTTAAAGAAAGACCTGGGGTAGTGGGGGGTAAGAGTGATGGCTCTGCCAGGGTTCTGAAGAGCTTCTGGTGGCATGAGGGGACAAGCTCATGAAGATTATTAAGAGAACTCCATGATTCAGCCTCCCACTGTGAAGAACTGCCCTCACGTGGAGTGTGGCATCTTCTACCAGGTTCAGCTGTTTCCGTAATCCATGATGATAAACACCAAAGACCATCAGATGCCTTTTGGAGGCCTAGAAGATTGACAGTAAGACTCCTGGTCCTCTATCTCATGTTGGTCTCCTTGAAGGAGAATGAGACGGGCTGGGGGTCACCAGTTCCTAGGCAGACACATCTTGAATGATTTACACAGAAGCATGTTCAGGTCAGTAGGGCCCCCAGAGCAGAGGAGACAAGCGCAAGCCACAAGTAAAGATGCCAGGCTCTCTTCTGTTCTTGTTAATCTTGTAGGCAAAGCGAGGAGTGTTGTGTTTTTTTTTTGTTTTTTTTTTTTTTTTGGAAAAGTCATTTCTAAGTGTTTTTGCTAATTTTAAAAGAATCCTGCCATTCACCCATATCATCGCTGTCTCAGCCTTATCAGCTACGGGTGCTGTCTCTGAACAGGACTCACAGTCAAACACAGAGACCACAGACGCCATTGTTAGAAGTGTGTTGGTGACAAAGTGAGACTTTATCGGGACTCACTCTGCACACATCCAGATGGCTCAGGATTTCCTGCTTGGACATTCATTTATTTCTTCAGCCCAGCTGGCGTTGTGACCTCACCCCAGCTTAATCCCAGGTCACAAGAAAGTCCCGTTCATCCTTGGCCTCCCTATGCAGTGTTTAGTATGTATCCTGGCGTAGTTAGTGTGTATCCTACTCAATAGTTGTGGGTTTCATCTGGTCTAAGCTCGAGTCTCTGGGGTCACCAGCCTTTCTCAGCTTCCTCTGCTGACCTATCGACAAAGGGCACATGAGCGGATCTCTTCCTCCATCTCCCCCTCCCTAAGCCATGCTGGGGGCCTTCCTTCTCTGACCCTGGCACTGCTTCGCCGCACAGCGCGTTAGTCAGGGATGTTTGAGCTGTTGTGTTGCTGGATACCATCTTGCTGTGGGGCAGATGCCCTCCACTGCGCCATCCAGGGAAGCAGGCTATGGGATCTGTTAAGCAGAAGTAGCCGCAGGCAGAGGAAAGGAAGTCACTGCAATTTTCCCAGCAGCCTCCTTAAATCTGTGGGTGACAGCTTGGGCACTTTGTCTTAAACAGACAAGGAAATGAGCTCACAGCTGAGGAAACTTGCCCCAGGTCCCAAATTAAATCGGTGCTGATGCAGAAGTGAACACCACCTCAGACTGGAAGCTGGCCAAACGGTTGCAAGAGAAAAATCCCAGCTCTTTCAAAGCCTCGAAGCGTCCCAGCATGGGCTCTGGGCAGTTACGTGAAGCTGTGCCAGACTTCCCCGTCATCCCTATCCTGTAAGCGAGCTGCGCTGTGGATTACTCATTTTCTCTCCTGCCTCTGACTGAGGCTCTTTTCTCACATCCTACTCCTGGTTTCACGGTCCCAAGGATTTCATTTGAAGGGCGGGGCATCCCTTTCACACCCCTCCACCCCAACGGGAGCCTGGAGTCTGGACCAATAGAAGCAAAGGACCTCATTTACTGGCACTAAAACCTGGCCCTATTTAAGTGGTAGCAGGCATGGGCTGTGAGCTGCGTCGGCTTTTCTCCACAAACGGGCACACTTGTTGTCTGATCCGGGGCATCACTCAACTGACGACAAGAGGAAAGGGGGAAAGGTTGTAGGGCTCTTGCTGCCACCATGTGCTCTGGCAAGTGTACAAGATACATCGGACACTCTCTGGTGTGGTTTGCTGTCCTCTGCATCGTAGCAAACATTTTGCTCTACTTTCCCAACGGGGAAACCAAGTATGCTTACGACGACCACCTCAGCCGCTTTGTGTGGTTCTTCGCCGGCATCGTAGGCGGAGGTCTGCTGGTAAGTTACTCGGAACTCTTTCCACTACGGAAATCCTCTCCCCTTGAATGGCAGTGCGCATTCTTCTCACGGGAAGTTTTCTAGAATGCCTACCCGTGAATCCTGCGGATGTGGTATCGGTTGCTGCTCTTCCCTGTGAAAGCGGAATATCACTAGGCTGCGTTAAACTTTTTTTGCTAATCTCAGTAGATGTTGTTTGAATAAAATCTTTTACCTTAGAGTGAACTCTCTGTTCCCCGAAGCTTTTCTTGTACAGCTTGAAAAAACAACCACTTTTCAAGATTTGAGAGGCTATCGAGTTTCTGCGAGCTGGATTGGCAGCCACTTCTCATTTGCTCCCGGGAGCTGAAGAGAGTGGGCTCGTTCCAAGAGAACAGTCTGGGGTCTAAATTAGTCTCCGTTGCTTCTTTCCCAGCGTCTGTGATAGGGGAAATACCAAGTGATTGCACTGGTATTTTCAGATAACTGCAGACTTTCTCCTGGGTTTCGAGTTAGAAGCAGGCTAGTGCCAGTCTAATGCGGGAATTTTTTTTTTTTTTTTCCCCACAGTTTGGTTTTAGTTGAAGCTGACAGGAAATGTACTTGACACATTTATCTTTGGCCTCAACACACATGGAATGTGGACACATTTGGGTTTGCTCATTTAAAATGCTGGAACTAAAAATTGCAAAGAGAAGTTTTATGGACTTGTTACTGTCATAGAGAAGACGATTTTTTTCTTTGCCAACTAAAAGGTGTTAAGACAGTTCAACCTAATATACTCACGGTAACATGGCTTTGCAACTGTGCTTTGAATGTTAGCATCGTTACCATTCATGTTCCCGTAATTAACCCAAATACAATTACATGAGCAAACAAAGTCGCTGCTTAATATCCGCTGTGCTTAGAGTCTTTGGCCTTACACGTCAAGAAGTTCATCCTTATTTGACAAGCATCACTGCTTGGTTGAAACAGATCATATGTTTTTTTATACTAAATCCTTTATCTTTTCTTATCTACTGAAAATGTTTCAGCCATTTTACTCAAGATTTGATATGTGTTTGATAAGGGGGAAAATCAGATTTAAATAACACTGCTGACACATTTTGTAGGAAAACATGTTAGGGATTCTCCCAAAGCTCACATTTATAGATTATTATTTCACATTCTGTTTGCTCACCCATGGTACATGGAAACAAGCAAATGTAATACTTTCGTTTCTCCTCAGGTTTTTCCCATCATTTGTTCTAATCGTCAGACATAGATATGTTTTACAGAAATCCTAACCCTGGCCACATGCGCTCAGGGAAAGACAATGACTTGATTCTGTTGCCTTCTGCCCAGATACTCCTGCCGGCGTTTGTGTTCATCGGGCTGGAGGAAGATGACTGCTGCGGTTGTTGCGGCCGGGACAACTACGGCAAGAGATGCACAGTAAGTCCTTGCGCTGCCTCCCAGTGAAAGGGCTCCTTTCCTGACGCAGGGCAGCGGCTTAATTCTTGCCTTTTCTCTCCCTAGATGCTTTCTTCTATCATGGCTGCTCTCATTGGCATTGCAGGATCTGGCTACTGTGTCATTGTGGCAGCGCTGGGTTTGGCAGAAGGACCAAAGTGTAGCGATACCCATGGTGTGTGGAACTACACCTTTGCCAACACTGACGGACAGTACGTAATTGTTCTCTGCCTAGGAACGCATTCTTAACCACCGCATATGAAACTAAGTTGTCCATCTGCCCATCCACCTAATATCACCTTTCAACATCTGCCCATCTACCCAATATCACCTCTCAACATCTCACGCAGTGTGCAAGGATGGATAAGCAATCATCAACCCTGAACAATTCTAGCTGCTGTTGAATACACACACTGACTTTGTTCTTGCAACAGCCCTGTGTAGACACTCCCATAGTTACTTCTCTTTTACAAATGAGAAAAAGAGGCAGGGAAAGATGAAGTGACTTATCCACGATCTCATTGCTAGAAAGTCCCAGTGACTCTCTTAGCCCAGCCTGTCTGCTGTACAGCGTATGCTTGGATACTGTGTACATTAAACCACAATGATGAGCAGACCAAAGGCAACACATTTTACTAATTTATAAGAAAATATTAGAGTATCCTTATGTAATCAAAAGCCCAGGGCAAACAATGCTCCCACCCTACACCTGCATATGCTGGCTCATGTGTTACATGTAAACACTCTTGATTTAGGTCACCAGAAGACAGAGGAAAGGTTTTAGCCAGAACTCTAACTTCAGTGTAGTTATGTAAGGTCCCATTTTCTTGTGTTGGTATTTTCTTTTTATTGGTTATGACAAAGGAACAGAACAGAAAAGCTGGTGGAAACTGGTATATGTGGAAATGAATGAGCATGGTTTGTCCTTTATGGACTTGATTTCTATAAAGGAAAAGATTTTGTTTCCATTTTTAATTTTTATGTGTGTGTGTGAATGTATACGTGTGTGTGTGAGTGTATGCATGTGTGAGTGTATACATGTGTGTGAGCATCTGCATGTGTGTAAGTGTATACATGTGTGTATGCATGCGTGTGAGTGTATGTGTGTGTATGAGTGTATGCATGTATGTGTAGATGTGTGAGTGTATACATGTGTATGAGTGTATGCATGTGTGTGTAGATGTGTGAGTGTATACATGTGTGTGAGTGTATGCATGTATGTGTAGATGCGTGAGTGTATGTGTGTGTGAGTATATGCATGTATGTGTAGATGCGTGAGTGTATGTATGTGTGTGTGTGGGTGTGTGCATGTGTGTGTGAGTGTATGCATGTATGTGTAGATGCTGAGTGTATGTATGTGTGGGTGTGGGTGTGTGCATGTGTGTGTGAGTGTATGCATGTGTGTATGTATGTGTGTAAGTGTATCTATGTGTGTGTGTGTAGATGTGTGAGTGTATGCATGTGTGTGTAGTGTGTGTGCGTGTGTGTGTGTAGGTGCCCACAGCATCCAGGAGAAGGTTTCATGTATTCTGGAGCTGGACTCACAGGCGGTTGTGAGTTGCCTGGTGTGAGTGCGAGGAACTGAATTAGGGTACTGTCTATGCCAGAGCGGCACATGCCCTTCAGCCCTGACCCCAGGTCAGATTCAGCTTAAGTTTGAATTTTAAAGGTTAAGTTTTTGAAAGACAAAAATGAAAATAATAATAATGACCATGGATTGTACTTTATATTTTCAATAATATTGTTCCTCATGAATTGTATGACAAGCATGTGGAGAGAGAAAGAGGGGGAGAGAAAGTGTGTTTGGTCTTTTTCCTTCACGAGAGAAAAATTGGGAATTTTCCTCCAACCTCAGCTCTACACCCACTCTCTAAGAACAGGAAGAAGTGAACTGAGCTCTCTGTGTCTTGGTGCCTCCATCTGCAGTTGCCATGAGCACTAATGAGGTGATGTACCTGTGAAATGTCCGTGTGCAGGGTGACACACTGTGAGCAGAGCCAGCAGTGCCTTAGGATGAGCATGACCGAATAATAGCCTCTGGAGGGAAACTACTACTTACGGGAGCTGGAGGCTTAATGTCACCAGAGTGATTCATCTCTGTTCAGAACATAATGTGCTCATAGAAAATGACTCATGTTTGTCCACGCATGCAGAGCTGTTGCATGAAACCAGCTGCGAGGCCAGTCATGATGCATGCAGCTGGGATGCATGGAGGATTACGTCCATCACTCAGCAGATTTTAAGAGCCATTTGTACACCTCTCCCTTTATTCACTTATGCTTCCAAAAAAAAAAAAAAAAAACCTTCCTCTTCTTCTAGAACACTCCTTATTTGAATCTATCCAGGATCTCAATATGTAGAGAAGTAACAGTTCCAAACCACTGATTAACTTTTCAGTAGTTAAGGAGAGCCAAAGAAAATTTTGACTCGGTGACCTGGAAAACAGACATTGTTGTTCCACTGACAAGCAGAAACACAGGGCCAGACTGACAGACTTCTCTTTTGTTTTTCAGGGGTGGAGTGGCGACAGTGGGGTTTGTTTTAAATCAACAAGTTGAATATCTTAGTGGCTCAGTGCACTGTTCCAAAGTTAGACGTCTGGTTTCAAGCTGGGGTAGGGAGTCGTAATAAGGAATGGTAGCAGGCCTCTTCGTGGGGTTAAGTCACTCCTTGATGTTCCCACATGGTTTAATCCTACTACACTGGGAATCCAAATACTCTGTGAGGTAGCAAGGACTGACATGCTAGAAAAGAAATCCAACTCTCTCCACACACACACACAAACACACTCATACACAAACACACTCACACACGTACACAAGCACACACACCACACACACACACACACACGCAGGAACACACTACCTTCACATGGCCTGGCGATTTTTAACAGGAGGAATTCTAGTTGTTATTTATCCTGCTGTTGTTTTTAACCCGCACCATGTCCTTAGACGCTGCTGGAGCCTGGGTTTAAAAAGCCCAGGCTCTGCCCCTGTGCCTCCACGGAGCTCAGCCTTGTTGAGGAAGCATATAAGCATTCTCTCTGGAAGGTGTTTTTCCTTGGAAACCTTTCACACTTTGTGTCCCCGCTCAGTGCACTTGGCATTCTTACTCCTTGCTCTTCTGTTAGAGTCCATATTGAAGGACAGAGCCCACCGTTATGTCCCAGCTCCAGCTCAGTTTTGAACACACAGCAGCTCGGGAATCGCAAACAGCTGAAGGAAAGGTGTTCTCTCCTTTTCCGTTGCCACAGAAGCATGGGCACAGCACACGAGGGAGAGAGCCTGGATTTAAGCCCTTGCACATTCTATTGCTGGTCAACCTTTCGCTTAAAAAATTGAAAAACAATTATGTCAACAGAACTTTTTGACAATAAAAACCCCTTGAATTCTAACTTGGCAGAATCTGGGTAACTTTCAAAGAGGAAGGTGTTTAGTATCTTAATGAAATGATCTAAATTAATACCTTAAAGTTTAAAAAATCTAATGTAAAATACGTTTTCCAAATCAATATTTACCCAATATCTTTCCCATATGTAATAACTAAGACAGTGATAAAAGGGGGTAACAGAATAAAAATATACTCTGTAAGTTTACTCCCCTCCAATATGAATTGCTTTCATTTTTCCATGTCTTCTTTTAGTTGACAATCCATACGACACATGACTTGGTTTTAAATATGATGCAAACATAGCTTTGTTTTTTTTTCTTACGAGAAATCATATGTGTTTTAAGGAATATAAAAATCTTTAATGTGAGAATATTTTAGCCACAGAATCCAAGATGAATGTCAAAATTGGTGCTTTAATTGTATGTTTATCAATTGGCAACAAGTTGTGGGCTGCAACCTGCCATTTGTTGGACTGGCATGTTGTACCAGAATCTAGCACACATTGTTGTGTTAATTCAGTTCTGCGTTTCTGAATAGACTCTTCCAAATGAAGAAGTAAGTCACGAGATATCCTCTGATCTATGGTCATGTCCCTGAAGTGTCTCTTCTGCCCACAGGTACCTTCTGGAGCCCACCACATGGTCCCAGTGCTATGAACCTAAAAATATTGTGGAGTGGAATGTGACGCTATTTTCTATGCTCTTGACATTCGGGGGAATTGAATTCATCTTGTGTCTCACTCAAGTCATAAGTGCAGTGCTCAGCGGCATATGTGGCTATTGCTGCTCCCAACACCAGGTGAGAACTCGTGTGACAATGTCGAGGCCTAGCCCTGTAGGGATCAGTTGCCACAGGGCACCGTTCTTCCCATCAAAGAGAAAAGACAGAACCAGACACGCTTAACCTACCTGCACTTATTCTTACTTCATCTTTGCATTTATCAATTCACTTTGGCTTCAGTAAGGAGTCTTGTAGACTCAGTTGTCTTGGTTTGTAGATGGCTCTGTGGGCGCAGGAGCCCTTGCCCATAGACACGGTACCTCTTTCAAGGCAATCCCTGTATGTTTCACTCACCCCGCTCTGGTTACAGCTACATAGGTACATCCAAGATGCTTGCCTAAGTACACATCAATAGTAACCAATATTGATTCCATCAGATGCAACACCAAATTCACTCTCCAGATGAGTCTGACTCAAGCATTAAACAAGATGTTTGAGATCACTCAGGCAGGAGGCAGCAGACTTCAATTCTTCACCCAAGCCCTTCCTCTTAACATATACGCTGTACTTCCTGTCCTGATGGATTCTCTGTAATTCTGCCCTAATAAGGAATAACAAAAATGCCTATGCAGTAAGCCAGGAGTATGATTAGCCTTTGAGTAGCACTCTGAAAGAAATTTTCTATGTGAGAGAAAGCCAGGAAGCTCTGGTTTCCTGGGGATATGACTTAGGAGTCAAATATCCACGTGTTTGTCATGGAGAAAGTTTTATTTTCTTTCTCTTCCTAAAAATATCTATTATTGAACAATTGGAAGTTAAGATCTGTCCAATTTAGGGAAGTCACTGTTCAATGTCTTATTCTTTAAAACAAGGTGAAGTAATCAAACTTTTTTATTTATATTTTAGATTCCCATTCTATTTGTCTCTCGAATTCAGTAGCTTCTGACTTGCCTTAAGAATAAAGCAAAAAACAAAACAAAACCCTAATAGAGACCAAAAGTCACTGCTACCAGGAAAACCCTGGCTGTAAATATACAGGCATTTTCTACAAATTCTGAGAAGTTAGGATACACTTCTAGCTTCCCCTACCAGGAAAGTATCACAAGATTGAGAATTCCTTTGGGATCCTGACAAATTTCCAAGAGAACAGCCAAGTTGGAAAACTTCAGAATAGCGTTGTTTTTCAGGCAGCTGAGGGGAAAGAGAATAGAATAAAACCTTTGGGAGTAATTCTTACATACAAAACCCCTGCTCACCCTTGAAACTCATAGGAAGCAGAGCATAAACTCAGCTACTGCTCGACTTCCGTGCATTTGGAGCACAGGCAGAAGGAGTCGGTGGACAAAACTGCTTCTGTGTTTTGTGAGGAGAGGTAATCTCCTGAATTGTAGGCAAGCACATGGGTCCTCACAGGAGACACTGTAGAATGGGCTCCTCTCCCTAACATTTAGGAGGATCTATTACCTTTATGTCCATGACAAAAGATTCTGTCTCAGGACAGGGCATTTAATCCATGAGAGCTGGCTCCCAGCTTGGTAGCATTTGATTTGAAAGGTGACCCACAGTAAGGCCACACCAGTGGGAAGTTCCCGTGAAGTCCTTTGAAATTACTCCTCCAGAGTAGAGACCCACCCAGGCACACTACAAGCCAATTCTGTGTCCATATTCTGCAGTTTCCCATGAACACTTTCTGTAAGCTTTCCTGGGAAAGAAAGTGGGTTTGGTTTGTTTAGGAAACATTTTGTGAGCCTTGTCTGAGCTCTAGGTGTGGTGGGCTAGGTTTCAATAAAAATTGCAGCCACTCTGCGTTATGATTGCTTTGAATAGAGATGCAAAGTACACAGACTCCCCCCCCATGTGTTGACGCTGATCATAGCCTAATGTAAATTTCATTTTTTTTCCAGCAATACGACTGCTGAAAGAGCCCAAGACAGAACCACATGCTTCCTTTATTTCATCGTAACTTGTATATTTTACTGGCCTTATGCAACTTTGCACTGGTGTATCATATTCCGTACATTCTGCTTTTATAAAGAAACGTGCTGACACCCTCACGTGATGTCAGCGTTTGCAGCTAGCAAGCAAACTCTATTTTAAAGGATGAGGCAACAGGCTGCCCTCACTTTGGTGGCATTTTACAGACTGAATGACTGTTCTCAGCGTGGCTGAGATAAACTCTTCAGTATTTAAGGTAAAAAAGTCACTTAACTATCGTGCATATGTGTATTTTAAATAAAAGACCTCCGGTTTCCCTTTTAAGACCAAGAAGGACCCAAATCCCTGAAAAGACAGTTTTAACTGTTTATATGGTGTTTCCCATTTGGAAGTGTACCAGTCTCCCTTGAACTGAGGGAAAAGTCCTTGCTGGATTTGGAAGGCTCATCAAAAAAGCACTCACTCAAGTATGGGAGAGGAAATTATGTAAAGCTGTTAGCGGCTGCGAACACTGCTAGATGCTGGAGTTTTCTCTCATGTAGAAAGCTTTGTGCCCTTCAAAGACAGAGACAGTGTGTGTAAAAGGGGAAGGGCAGGATGGTTGGGCAAGAACGAAGATGGGAAATGGAAGAAAACAGTTGATGGCCATGGTGGGAAAAGGGGTTTGGTGGGGTAGGGAACTGAAGACCACATGGGAATGCCCCCAAATTTGCTTGTTGAGCACAGAATGAACTTCCTCTACCATTCAGCTGTTGTTTTGGTTTTATGTGAGGAGAGACAACCTCTCCGGTCAGGTAATTTATCAGAGTCATGTAGGGAGGATGTCTCCCTAACGCGTAGGAAGATCTGTTACCTTTTGTGGACGACAAAGGATGCTTTCAGATTGCAGACTATTGATTCCAGAGAACTGGTTTCTAGATTAGCAGGACTGGATTGGGAAGGTGACCTACATGAATATACACAGTAAAGCTCACCAATGCCCTTGTCCTGCAGCTCCTGCTTTTTCCCTCCCTGTCCGTGATCTGTGGTCTACCGCTTGAGGGGCGTCAATGCCTCTGGGTCCTCTCCTGCTTTCCCTGCCTTATCCTCTTTTCTACCTTCTATCTGTCAACAGATAACCTCGGTTATTCTATCTCTTGAGGCTAGCTATCTTTCTTTTCCACTGGGTGCTGCAGTCTTCACACTCCCAGGTAAGGTAGCATGTTTTTTCTCTCTCGTGCGTGCGCAAATGGACATTTTTGTTTGGTTTTGTCTTGTTCTAGTTTTGTTTTAATGTAAAAGGATCCCTTAACTCTCTGCCTGGCAGAACCGCTTAGATGGATGTAGAACTACTTTATTTTGCTTACAGTTTCGGAGATTTTTAGTCCGGGATCATGGGTTGCACTGATCCTAGTCCCGTGGGAAAGGTGATAGGAACACGGAGGACCAGGATGAAGGACCCTGGTCACCTCATGGTAGATAGGAAGATAGTTGAGCAAGGGGCTGGGGACCAGATAGAACTTTCAAAAGCATGTCCTCCACCAACCCACTTTCTCCAGCTAGGTCCCATTTCTAAAGTTTCCAGCACCTCCTAACACCATCCAGGGACCAAGTGTTAAACAGATGCATTCAGATCATAACACCTGGGTCTTGTACAGAAGGCTTGGCCTTGGTTCATTGTCCTGGGCAACAGACAAGAGAGCTAATCAAGACTTTCACTTGCTGTTAGATGGAGCGCTCTTCCTTCGGGCACAGTAACCTGCTGTGATCCCTGACCCAAAGTCCCCACGTCTCTGTGCTATGATCACCCTGGCAGTCTGGTGAAGCCTGAAGACTTTTCCTAATAATGCCTATAGGCATATAAAATAAGATATATAGACATAAGAAGGAAGCCAATACATTGGAATGTTTATCAAAGAAATTAAAATTGGGGCTAAAGAAATGGCCCAGTGGTTAAGAGCACGGACTGCTCTTCCAGAGGACCTGGTTTTGAGTCCCAGCACTCATATGGCAGCTCACAACCATCTGTAACTCCAGCTCCAGTGGATCCTACGCCTTCTTCTGGCTTCTGCAGGCATTGCTTGCACGTGGAGCACAGACATACATGGAGACTAAACATTTATTCTCAAAATAAAATAATTTTAAAATAAAATTATGTAGCAGTTGTCTTGATATTCTACTGTTTCTTCACCTCTGTAGACAAGCTGATAATTGTCCATGTGTTCTAGATGAAGCCTAATAAGTAAAACAACTCACACCTTTGAAACAAGATGTCTATTTAACTGAGATTTCTGAGGAATCAAGAGCAATTCAATGTGATATAAAAACATATATGAATACTCTAGATCAAAATGTGACATTGGTTTTGATGTTATTTTGCTTTATTGTACATAGTCATAATTAAAGGAAATAGAGTTAACATTTTGGTTAAAGGTTTATAGAAAGTAATGGTACTATTGCCTTGCTACTGAAGTTTGACCTCATAGCTCAAATATCTATGTTTGGGCCTGTTGGGAACTCTTGGGCACTCTCTGCAGTAGGAAATCCAGAAAGATAAGATCAAGATTAGGAGTTGTCTGTCTGTAGCCCCATAGGAAACGGGTCTGGATGACAAAAGGTAGATTCCCTCCTTACCGGTGGTGGGGGTACAGAGGTATAGCTCCACCCCAGCAGACTGAAGTCTTTTATGGACTTCAATGCAGCCTAAATTGTGATTTGTGGCTTCAGTGCAGAAAAGAATTTCAGGACCAGCCAGGGTAAAGAAGAACTGGTGACTTTATTACGGGAAGTTTAATGCAAGCTTTAAAACTGTGTGTTAGGAGAAAACCACTCAGAAAGAAAGACACATCCAAGTATCAGTGCGGGCTTCTCAAGAGAGTCAAAGCCAAGCGTGGCTACGGGTGTTCCTAGGAAGCATAGGAGACGCCAGGGTTAGTCACACACACCATTTCAGTGGCCCTCACATTGCATCTTAAAAGTTGGTTAAAAAAAATTGTTTCTTCCCCTTTCCTCTCTTTTTATAAGAGAATTATAGGCTGTGTGCAGAGACGCCTGGGATGGGACTGCAGTCTAACAAGGTAAAAACCAGGAGCACCTGAAGCTGATGAAGGGGTTTCATACATTTCCTTTCCATGTAGGTTGGTCTCTGATGAGATTCTTAGAAAACGGCAGGTCTATAAAGAGGAAGGGAAAAACACGCCCGAAGCCGTTGTCATCTGTCTTTGTTAGGGCTTTTATTCCTATGAAGAGACACCGTGACAACAATCTCATAAAGAAAGGCATTTAATTAGGGCTTGCTTACAGGTTCCGAGGTTTGGTCCATTGTCATCATAGTGGGAATGCATGCACGATGGCACGCAGGCAGACATGCTGCTGGAGAGCTAGTTGAGAGTTTCACATACAGATTGGCGGGCAGAAGGAAGAGAGAGTGACGCTAGGCCTGGATTGAGCATTTAAAACCACAAAACCCACCACAAGTGATACACATCCTCCAACAAGGGCACACCTGCTCCAACAAGGGCACACCTCCTCCAACAAGGGCACACCTCCTCCAACAAGGGCACACCTCCTCCAACAAGGGCACACCTCCTAATAGTGCCACTTATGAGCCTATGGGGACCATCTTTTTTCAGACCACCACAGTATCATGCTGGAATTACTGCTTCTTTCCCAGGTGAGGGGCCCCTTTCCTTTCTCACTCCTCCATAATTTTCCACCTCTCTGTTTTGCTCCATTCCTGAGAGAGAAAGAGCTGATGAGCTTCAGAAAAATACAGGGCATCCAGGGTCAGCTGGAAAAGGAAGGTGTGAGGGCACAGAAGGAAGGCAGCTATCATGGGTGTGGATCTGAGGGAGGCCGGGAGCCAGAGCTGAAGTTTCCAGGTTCTTGTTTCCCAAGGCAAAACAACAACAACAACAACCACAACAACAACAACAACAAAACAAAACTGTACCAAGGTTACAAGTAAGGCAACAGAAAGAGAGATAGTTTATTAAGAATGCTTATAGCGAGTAACCAAGAAAAAGGTGTGGGCTCAGAAGCACTGGGCAGCAGATCTTAAGATCCTTCCTACCTCACCCCCATTTTAGAAAACTTGGGAAAATGCAAATTTTATTTTACTTTTCAAATTATAAAACATATGAGTATGTAAAAAACCACAGTGCAGTCCATATGAAAAGCAGTTCCAACTACTCAAAAATTATAGAGCAAGCAGAATGCAATCCACAGAGGCTCAGTTCCACTACTGTTTAGTTGTATGCAGCTTGGGATTGTTCTGTAATATGGAAAAGGTGATATTTAGACAATCAAAAATTGAGAAGATAATTCAAAATAAAATTCACTCTGAGTAGAACAGAATTTGTATATTTTGAGAAGCACTTAAAGAAGGTGTGGTTTGAAAACAATACCTTCTACTTAATTCAATTTTAATAGTATATTAAAAATATAGTATGCTGTCCTGGGCAAAAGAAAATTACTAGTTTTAAGCTGAAACAAAACTTAATTTTGTCTGCAGTGTGGGAACAATGCTGGAACAGTTAGCTTGAAACTATTTAAAGCATGCAAAGACTTTTAAAACTTAATAAAAAAAAAGCAGTGATACATTTTTTTCCTCTTCAGCAGTTGAGACATAAATTTAATGAGTTCTTTATGAGTGTTTTCCCTCTGTTTTCTGCTTTAAAAGACACGGTGTGAGCCATGTAACACATGTTTTAATGTAGCTCTGCCTACCCAAGGCCACACAGGTCAGAAAATTAACTTTAAGCAGATAATACACACAGAAGATGCGAGCGTTATAGCTCGGGAGGGAAAGATATCCTGACTTGTCGGGAAGTCAGGCTACTCCTGAAGCTGGGGTGCGGTGAGGGATGCTCTTCACGCAGGATGTAGCAATCCTGTTCTCTCTAGAGAGAGCCGTTACAGCTGAGCTCTTCTCGGTTTCCCCGAGGGAACATCCTAGCAGAGCTAGCCATTTCTGCTGCTCTGGCCCCAAGTGTTACCCCTTCTACTTCACTCTGCTAAAGGGGAGACCCCTGCAGAAAGCTGGCAATCTTTTTTTTGGCTCTGCCAAAGAGTTGTTACTTTTCCTGCTCAGCCCTGCTGAGGGAACATCTCAGCAAAGATTCTTCTGCTCCATGCTGGTTAAAGAAGATCTTTACCCAAAACTCTTTTAAGATGGAGATTTCTTTGTGAAGAATGAGTCCAGGAAAGTGGCTGCCTCTGCCAGGGCGGGAAAGGACAGCCCACAACTGAACAGGCGGCAGAGGAGCTTACACAGAGCTTCTTAGGGGTTTCCCAGGGAGAAGATTTCCTGCTCAAGGATTGGTGAGTTTTCCTGCTCAGGAATTGGTTGGTTT